TAAATAAATAAAAAAAATTATCTGCTCTATTAGATCTACAGACTTAAAATTTAACAAAGCTGGTTTTTTTTCTTTCTTTTTTTGTTCAGCTGAGATATGCAAAAGCTTTTTTTGTGTTTAATTTGCAATTCACGTAAAATTAACTCATTAAAAACTTCTTTATCCTTCAATCTGTATTGTTCAATTTTTCAGTTCACCCGTGCGAAGAACAGGTATACCAGCTAGTAATTATATATATACTATTCTGAGATATTTTGGAATTATATATATAAATATAGTGACTTACGCGCGCTAAACGTGAAAACGCTTACAACGAAATATCGGCTAATACGAAATAATAAACGGTCCCGAAGAAACTCTTGTTTTTTTCATGCATTTTTCTGTTAACATGAAATGGAAATCGTTTAATACGAAAAGATTTCTCTTATAGAGGAGAAGGATATTGAAACTGGAAAAGATTTCGAAACTGAGCTGACACTGATTGAAATGTTTGATAGTTTCTGTATTATTGGACTGTCCTACTGAATTATCGGAAGAATTAGTTGCAGTAAATAATGATGGGTACAGCACCAATTATTGCAGACAAAGTCATTTTGGAGTTTGTTAAAAAAAAAATATCACTGAGGCAGATTCCGACAACGAAAATGAAATGAATAATGTAGCTCCTGTTCTCACATCACCTGAAATGAAGAACTCTTAAAAAGTAAACGCAGTTATTTAGACGTACATTTCAATGGTGAAATGAATAACAAAATGGACGACAAATTAAATTTCATTTAGTTCTTGTGAATGTTTTTATTTCATTGATTTTTATTAAATACACGCATACATAATGTATAATAAAAGTGTACTCTAATAACCTTAATTTGGTAGAATATGTTTTATTTATTTTTTTGTGCAATATCATTTAACACGAAATTCTTTTAACGCGAAAAAATATTTCATTTCCTTCAGTTTTGTCTTAAACAATTTTCACTGTATAATATATATATATCCATATGCATTGTAAAATTCGAAACAAGTGTCCATAGCTTAGAGTGGTTTTGGCATTGAGTTCTAAATTCATGATTTTGTAATCGAATCCCATTTTCTGTATCCTTTTCGTACTAAAATCCCTTCAAATTTGTAAAGGCTTAGTAGTCGAGTGGTCATGTTCACGACCTCGTGGCCGGCATTATTGAGTCCTCGGTTCGAGTCCTACTGCCACTTAAGTCCCGTCGTGTAGAAAGACTGATGTACCCTAAATTTGTCCACGCTCGAAGTCCTCTCTTTGGTTTGGTGTAAAAATTTTAAGAGAGTAGTGTTCCAGCTTAAGGGTCATTTTTTTCATTTAATCGAGGCTCAAAATTATGAAGATTGCCTGCTGTTAACAGATCTAGTGTAGCCTCAAAGTGCGACGTTAACAAACGGTGGATCAATCTGAAGCTCTAATGTCCTCTCTTAGGTGTGGAATGGAAATTGAGTTGGGTGCCTACTCGGATATCGACCTCGTTATCTAACCTAGTTCAAAATCATGGAACTTATTCGCTATGGGTAACGGACGTTGTATCGAGAAGATAGTCAAGAAGCGTTTAAGAGAAACGATAAACTTAAAAGTTCAGTTATAGAAGTTCTAACTCAGTAAAAATATCCAATTATTATATACCTGAAGCAAGTATATTTTTGTTATAAAAACTGTTAATTTGCAACGTTCTTTAATATGGTATTCAGGATTGGAGACATATTTTTCTTATGTATATTGAAGGTGTCTTTCTCGACCTTGACCAGTATTCGAAACTATGACAAGTGTCACCTTTATTTCTTGTGCTACTTCGAAGCGCAGCGTTAATAAACAACCAATTAATCAAAAGACTTGGAGTCTGCGCAGTTACTGATGATGTTACATTGCTCAACAAGCAAGTTAATATATAAAGGAGCTCAAGCGAATTAGACTGTGCATTCTGAAAATGTTTGACTGATTTTTAATATACATTTGTGTATTTTTAAATTTAAGACCGGTGGATGTGTGAAGTCGCCTATATTTATTTTATTTAAAGTACTTTTTAAGAACTTTTTGTCTTATAAATCGTGCATATTGACTAGGTGTGAAATTTATACATTAATAAATTTTTTTGTAAGTTCTAGTTTTGTTATTTCTTACTAAAGGCTGAAACCTTCATTTTAGGTATTGTTATTTCTTACTAAATGCTGAAACCTTCATTTTAGGTAACGTTTAGAGAAATGTCGAACACTACGTGTATGTCAACGAGCTGCCTTCTGAACAAGCAGACTACCATGAAGTATCTGAATCTTCCCCAACCGGAGGACAAGGTGCAGTGCATGTATGTTTGGGTCGATGGGACAGGAGAACAACTGAGAGCCAAAACGAGGACTCTTGATTTTGTTCCTAAGGCCCCTGAAGGTATGTTCTCTTTTATTTGTAATTTCTGGCATGTCCTGTCCTTGTATCCTAAACTCCATGCCTTGGTTCTCTCGTGTCTAATCAAAGCATGTTTATAGTACCTATCGCAGTATTCGCTTAATAATGGAGAGGATACAATTGCAATATGCAGCGCTTAAAGATGTACTCCCCTTCCTCACTCTCATCTTAATTGCATGGTTTGCTTATGATGGTACTCATTTATCCTACCATATTCTTAATATTTAATTTTCCCCTGAACATCAGTCTTTAACGAAACGTCGTAATTTTTATTGCTATCGCGAAAAGAAAGGAAATTTTGGATCCTTTAGCGATCTGTAAAATATCTAATCATCGATAATCGTTTAAAACTGGCAGATATGTCAAATTCAGCTTTCCAATAATATGATTCAACCTTTTGAGATAGTAATTTAGCGAATGGAAGGGAAATACAGAAGTTGCTAAGCAAAAACTATTCTTTGCGTAAAAACGATTTTTTTTCTTCCGAAGGAGAGAAACCAAAAAGAGAACTAAAAACGCTTGTTCGTATTGGGATCGTGCATTCTTTTCTGTATTTATTCAGAAGGCGACAATTTTAACTCTCCTATCTTTCATGCAGCTTTAATTTCATTGATGGATTTGAGGAAAGTGTCCTTGGTGATTCCTGGGTTGGAGATGTCAATCTCAAATGGAAGTTTAGTCGTGGCTTCATATAATCACATTCGTCATTAAAATCTGGATCTTATTTTCTTCAAACATAAAACTATAGTTTTTCGAAGACTTTCCTATGCGGTGCTCTCTAACCCTAAATTTTAAACCAAACTCGTGTCTTGCAGACCATGCATTGTATATTTTGTATCGAACTTTTAGCCATGCATTTTTCCTTTAATTCCTTGAAAATGTGGAGATACCCGTTATAATTTGCAGATAACAAATGGTTAAATGAAACCAGGACTTTAGTTGCGCTTTTGAAGATAATTCGACATCTAGGTTATCAAGTTCTTTAAACGAGAACACTTCAAATTTTTTCTATAGTCTTTCAATTATTGACTGAATTAAAAATTAATGGTAATAAAGAGCGTAACTTGCAAATTTTCACCTCAAAGTGTGTGTGTGTATGGGGGTTGCTGAAGTTTTCCAAACTTAAATCGTTATCAGACCAAATTGGAGGACTGTGCCAAGTCGGAGAAAGGGCGCAGTTTTTTCACTCCAACCACCGAATCTCAACATACAAATGTTTTTATTTGGATTTTTCGCAGGTCGCAAAACATTCCAATAAAATTTCTCGGATTACCTTGAAAAGCGTAAATTTTAGATCAAGGTTGCGATCTGAAATTGTGGATGTCTTGGGGGTCATGTTAGTCCATTATCATAATTTAATACTCTAGAACAGGGGTACTCGACTTTTTTTTTTTCTGGGCCGCATACATACTTAACTAATTCACGCGGTCCGCAACATGAGAATTAATGGAGGGCGGGGAAGAAATTACATAAAATGTAACATAGAAAATTTAAAATGTGGAAATTGATCAAAATATTAACTTCTACTTTGCTTTTTTAATTTTTTATCACTAAATTTTTGTAAATTGGAAGCATTTCAAAATCACTGTCACAATTTCTGCACCAGTAAACAGTTTCATATGATTACCAATAATGCAACAAATTTCGTAAGGTGCCTTTGTTACAGCTGTGACATTACCACCGACAAAACACTTTTTTTTGCTTTTGTAAAGGTTATTCAAGAAGACCTCTTTATCACCTCTTCAAAGAAGTCTTCGAGGAAAAGTGTCATTGAATGAATCCTGTATATTGACACTTTATAAATGCAACACTTTCGTGAAAAATAAAATAATTACTGCACCCCATGCTTGTTTTTCACTACAAAACAAGTTAACTTCTGAATAGTCTTGAAACACTCTGTTTTCTTCGAATATTTTTCGCTTGCAAGATATGAAAGGTGGTTAAAAATAAGTTCCACTAAAAAAAATGGTCGCTACTCCACTGTTGTCTATTATCACCAATTAGATAAAAAAATATCAATTCGCACCCATACGACAGGAAAAAGCAAACTGATATATTTGATTTATTTTTTTTGTTTTAACAAAGAATTTCCCACTAAATTTTCGTAAATGAATTTTTCAGAGCACTGGGCCATGACCGGGCCACTTAAAAAGGCTTGGTGGGCCGCAGGTTGAGTATCGCTGCTCTAGAATATTTTAAGGATCCAGGTTGCTAAATTTTATACCCCTGCAATAAAAACAAACTGTGTGTGTATATACTTATGTACGCACGTAAGAAGTTATACTTCTTTGGCGTAAAAGATTAATCTTTGTAAAATCTTTTTGCAGGACAAGCTAGGCCAAGGACGAAAGGCGGTCACGAGCAGAGTTGAACGATACTAACCTGCAGTAAATCTCTCGCCAGCCAAACTTGAGATAATCACGATTTAAATAAATTTAAACACCCCCCGCACAGGGACAATAGGATCAATAATATGGAGAGGGGGTCGAAGGCGGGAATAATCTGTCCCATTCTGTATATTTCTAGACAAAGCATTTTCGTATCCGTTCCTACAGAACGCAAAACAAAGGTTCCCTTACACGGGGTGTATAGCTCAGTGGTAGAGCATTCGACTGCAGATCGGGAGGTCCCCAGTTCAAACCCCTGGGTGCCCCCATTTTCAGGAAAGTAAAAAATATTTTGTGAAATTTCGAAGGCGGAATATTTGTCCCGTTCTGTATATTTCTAGACAAAGGATTTTCGCATCCGTGACGGTGTGCGTCACATCCGTGACAGTGTGCGCGCGCATTGTAAAAATTTACCATCATCCTATTTCTCTAACGCCCCAAATGAAGTATAACTTCAAAAAATTACGGCAGTTGATAAGGTTTCGTTGCATATGTACATATTAAAAATGTTGTTTTAAAATGTTATCGGTACTCGGCTGACTGTAGATTCTGTCCTGTTAAACTAAATTGTGCCTTTTCCTCTATTTTAGATCTACCAGTATGGAATTTTGATGGATCTAGTACCTATCAGGCGGAGGATTCCAACTCTGATACGTATTTATACCCTGTGGCACTCTACAAAGATCCATTCCGTGGCGGAGAAAATAAACTGGTGCTCTGCGAGACCTACAAATACAATAAAAAGCCAACGGGTAATTTGTTTTAAATGGAATCTCGTTTAGTTCCGAGAGAGAGCTGTATGAATCTCTTGTTATCCATTTTTGTACTATAGAGATGGTTAAAATAGTATCGTTATCTTGCAGAATCGAACAAGCGTCACACGTGTGTGAAAGTTATGGAGAAAGCCAAAGATCAAAAGCCATGGTTCGGCATTGAACAAGAATATACCCTTTTAGACTGTGATAAACATCCTTTTGGATGGCCCAAGAACGGATTTCCAGGTCCACAAGGTACGCTTTCATTTCGTTCTTAAACCTTGGTCTGGTCCCTTAACTGGTTCAAACACGTGCGGGATACCGAAAGCTGGTCACAACCGGTTTGCTCGTACACTGTGCGAGAAACTGAGATTTTTCTATCTTATGTTTTGCACATATTTTTAATTAGGGAGATTATCAGTACCAGCGTGTGTTTTTAAGAGATGCAATTTTTCTATCGTACTGAAATGCTTCTCATCCGGAATTTTCTGTGATGTAGGCGGGGATTTTTCGTTGAGGGCAGGAGTTTAGATTCTTGAACATATTCAATAAGATTGACAAGGCAATTTGTTGCTTGAGAAGAAATGAAATTGGAGAGAACCCAAAAAGCTTATATCTCTGTACCCATTGCTATGTAAGACATGGTGAAAGTATTACTAAAAGGGTCTTTATAATATTATATGTATAAAAATATGTATATAATGTATACATATATGCTCACACAAAATCTTCAATCATTTGAAAGAGGTACGAACATTGAGTATTTTAAGTGTGAGAGAGAAATTTTTTTAAGATGTATGAAACATTCCTCATAGCATGTGGAATGTACTTAGAAAAACCAATATTTGGGAGCGGTTTTGTTCCACAATTATAAAATTAAAAAAAGAAAATAGTGTGAAGACCTTCAAATAAAATTCAGTTTTACATTGTTTTGTATTATGCTTAGTTTTGTATGCAGAAAAATTGCCTGTTCATGGAACATTTGGGGCAAAAACTGACCACTTAACCTTTTAACTGTCATGCCCGAGATAATCTCGGACACAGCACTGGTGTTCGAAAATGTCACACCCGAGTACTACTCGGGGTAATTTTTTTTGAGTGCATCGTATTGTTTTACCTGAATATATATCGGGAGACGTTTATTTCGGCTTCATCTTTGTCAAACCCAACAGATTCTCGGGAAGTTAATGTGCGCTCAATTCAATAGATGGCAGCACTTTACTGAAGACAAAAAAATAAAATGATTTTGGCAATAAAAAAATTTTAGTTTGTGTACCCAAATCATCAAAATAACTTGACAGTTAAAGGGGGAGTTGAAGCCATACCCTCGGATCATAATTTCAGTTCAGTAGAAAACAACTTCAAATGTATGCTATAAGGTACTAATTGAAATGGTTGCTCAAGTACTGAGCATAATCAAAGGTTCATCTAATCTTGTACAATATTTACAAAACCAAAATAGAATAGGTATTTTTACTTAACATTAAGAGTAGGTTCAGTATTTATCGTAATTAAAGAAACGTGAACATACTCTATAATTCGTACTTCACCTGGAATATCTCGGAAGTATCTGAATTAGAACCCAGAATATAATTTTTAAATATCTCTTATGGATGCGATAACCATCTTCGTGTAATATATTGCTTGACAACGCTGTTTTCGCTGAATTCATAACATCCCTCTATAATTTCAAGAAGGCATTCAACTGTCAATATTGAGGAAATAACTGCTTAATTATGTGATAGTGGTTTAGTAGATGAGCAATTAAGTTTCAGCCATTTGAAAAACTAGAACTTTTCTACTCGAATTGGGCAACACTCCATTCTAAATGAGTTTTTCTTTTCTAGGACCCTATTACTGCGGCGTAGGTTCCGACAAGGTTTACGGCCGTGACATCGTAGAGGCTCATTATCGCGCATGTCTGTATGCTGGCATTCCCATCAGTGGTACTAATGCTGAGGTGATGCCAGCCCAGTGGGAGTTCCAAGTAGGCCCGAGTGAAGGAGTAAGAATTGGAGATGATCTCTGGATGGCCAGATTTATTTTACAAAGAGTGGCAAAGGGTTTTGAGTCGTG